TGTTTCTTTCAGGAAAAAAGGACTTAGTATTGTTGTGAAGTGTTATAATGCTTACTTGAAGAGTACTTTCTTATTTATTGCATTGTTCTTTTTGAGAATAAGTTTCTGAAAGCACGTCATTTTCTAAAAAAAAACAAAATTTTAATGCAGTATTTTGAAATACTTTACAACGCTAAGGAAATTTCATTAATGAGATATTTTGCAATTTTTATTATAAAGCAGCAGCCCGTATAGTATTACTGGATTAAAAAAAAAACCTGTTTCACTCATGACCTACATTATGCCTGCAGAATTACCATAGTTCGTTGTTAGTGAATATAAGCTGTGCTTCATAATTGGATTAACCAAGCGGGGTGTAGCATTTTCCTATGTTTTCACGTGGACACGATTAATATAAAAGTTTTCTTTATTTTACTTGCTAGATGAACTAGAAAGAATATTGCCTACCTGATGTTTACTTGTAACTGGAGCGTATTGTGGTCACAAAGTGAATTCGGCCATCCTTAAGGCATGAGGTCGATGTCCTGATTGTATTGTATAATTTATTGGTGGCAGGACCTCTTTGCTGGTGGTAGGACTTCTTGTGAGTCCGCGCGGGTAGGTACCACCACCCCGCTTATTTCTGCCGTGAAGCAGTAATGCGTTTCGGTTTGAAGGGTGGGGCAGCCGTTGTAACTATACTGAGACCTTAGAACTTATATCTCAAGGTGGGTGGCGCATTTACGTTGTAAAGGTCTATGGGCTCCAGTAATCACTTAATACCAGGTGGGCTGTGAGCTCGTCCACCCATATAAGCAATAAAAAGATAAAAATAACAAAAGCTCGGGAGGGTGTTTTAAATCGGTATATCGTTTGAAAGTGTTAATAGCCTTCGGGCGCCTACTGCCCACCTCCATGAAAATGTTCTTTGTCTCTAAACTAAGTTTAATATCGAATTTTACATCTACTTGATAGCTGTGAGCACCTGAGCCAAGTTTTTTTAAGTTTTAAACTACGTCAATTTCACACGGAAATTCTCGTTAGTATCTAAAATAAAACGCAGCGAATTCAAAAAGCCAAACGTGATTCAGTACTTCTTGTTTTAAAAATCGACTGTTTTTTTCATAGTCCCATTTCTGAAACGCAATAGAGAAATTAATATTTAAATAGACTATAGATGATTACGTTATGATAATATGTCCAGCGTTTTATTTAGAAGCTATGTAATATATAATATAGGTTACATCTCAGGGAAATAGTGATAGTGTGGTGACTATAGATTTCAGTAAATGCGGAATTTGCGGAAGGGAATTCGGAGTTTTTCGACTTCATCTATAAAAAGAAGTCAAAGTTAATTAGATTTTCTGGAAAGCCCCCAAAAAATAAATTACTTTGTCTGGGTACCGTTTAACAAACACATTAAATTCATAGTACTTTTATAATGTAAATGAAAGAGAGATTTTTTGTTTGAATATTTATTTACGTTCCTTTTTCTTATTTTTAGCTTCCATTGTTTATTGTATGGAAACACGATCCGAGTGGCCTATTCTATACGGACAATGTTCGAACAAGCCCGATTTACACAAATGTCTACCCTTTTTCGTTTGTCCTCATAAAATTTGCACAATGAAGGACAAGGCAATGATTTTCTTCGGTTAATGAAAAACTCTGTGGGTTTACGTTGTATACTGTGATTGTATATATGAGCGCAAACGCTACTATTGGCAATAATTAACATAATAATATATAGTTTAGTTTATTCTATGTTATTGTTTATTTATTATTAGCAAGATGAAACTGTTATTCTATCAAATTTAATAATTAGCAGACACTGTTTTGATGTGAAAATGTTCAGAATTTGTTTAATGTTTATATTTTTGTTTAAAAACACAAATGACTGTATAAATAATTAAAAATGAATAAAGCATAAATATTAATAATAATTTCTATTATAATTAACAGTAATAATTTAATTAAGTATTGTAATTGTTAAACAATGAGGTTGTTGGCGCCATCTATTATTAGGCTGGATAATAACAATGCTAGTTTATATTAGTTAAAAGTAGTTTATGTAAAATAAATTAATGTCAGAACTTATGTAAAAATCACTAAAATAGGTATTGGGAATATTAAGCCATATTTTGTGAATTGTTTCGCAGTCATTACATTTGTTTATATAAAAAAAGCTGTAGTTGCTATAACCAACACAAAATGGCTAATTATGTAAGAACTAAGACGTGGCTTTTTGTAATGAACAAGTAATGTTAAAGTTTTATAGAATTATATTGTATTTTCATTGTAAAAGACCTCATATGTGAAAACCTTGACGTAACGCCGACATATACTTACTTTTACTGGCGTATATTAACATGAGCTCAAGGTTCACTGGGTGTGGTTACCGGTGCTCATAGACCTTACAAAGTTAATGTTGATGTCTACATCGTAATTTTCCTACCCTAATGATTGATCTGATGGTGTTGGGTCACCGTCGCTTATACATAGAAATCAGAAATGACAGAGACACAAACAAACCTTTGCACACTGCTGAAGTTTCTTCTGAACCCGAACTCTGATTGAATAAATATGTATAAACTCTCAACAAATTGAAAGAATAATCTGAACCGTACTTATTCTTTTGAATATGAGAAAATTAAACAATACATACATTTATAAAAAAACACTTTTATTATCTTTGACAAAAATAACAATTTTCATTAAATACACACACATTTACATGACGAACGATTTATAATCTTATTATAATTCGCATATTTAATTAATTACGAGTAATTTAAAATAGCGATAGTATATTGATTATGAGTAATAAAATTCCACAAGTGCGAGCTCCTAGACAATTATTTCCGCTGGTCTTAAATTATTAATTGCTTATTGTTGAATTCATTTTATATAATTGGAAAACGATTGTTAATAATTGTATCAGATTCAATAGAGAGTTTTCTATTCAACGATGTTCCTCAAGTCTAGCTACATCTGAGCATACATAACATCAGTACACTGACTTGCTCGTGCAAAGATAAAACTGATACTATTATCGCATTTACAAATTATATTCATGTGTATGTGCGATATAAAATACCTAAGTAATTGGGAATACATCGACAGAATTTCCCTTGATTATATAATAATATAATAGTATCAACAAAGTTTGTTGGGACTACGAAGCCAAAAAAATAATGTGGTTTCAAATCGTTTAACAATGCCGAATACTAAACGGGATCCAAGAGAGGCAAATTCTTAAATATCATTATCGGAGATTATTATACAAATATATTATTATTAATGACTTATTATATTATGGTTCATAATGGGTTAGGGAAATGGTAATGGATTGGTATTTGTATAATAGTAATATCACAAAAATCAGAAAAAGTTTTTCCGCTTGATCTCGTGTTTTCTTTTTAGCTTCCTTTTTTGCACTTGAATAGTAATTTTAATATTGTTAAATTTACAAAAAAAACAAACAAACATTAAAGTATTCGAAAATGTAAGTAATTCAAAATTAAAACATATGAAAGAAGCGTGTAATTTTAAAAATTGTTTCAATGACGTTTAGAATGTCCGAAACAATATAATTTGCGAAAAATTCTTCTAATATGTGAACAGTACAGAATAATTTTATATTATATTATACTGTTTCATGTGCTGTATTAATTTGAGTATGCGTGAATAGTTTAGTGACTATAATCTGTAAATCTCCACATCGCGAACATAAGTCGACTCTACTTTTGCTAATCCCATTTCATACCGATTCCGGTGTAGTTTTGATATCTTACTCTTTCGGTTAAAAAATTGTCTCAGCCTTTTTATTTATTGCTTAGATGGGGGATGACCTTACAGCCTACCTGGTGTTAAGTGGTTACTGGAGCCCATAGACATCTACAACGTAAATGCGCCACTCACTTTGAGATATAAGTTCTAAGGTCTCAAGTATAGTTACAACGGCTGCCCCACCCTTCAAACCGAAACGCATTACTGCTCCACGGCAGAAATAGGCAGAGTAGTGGTATCCACCCGCACGGACTCACAAGAGGTCCTACCACCGGTAATTACGCAAATTATAATTTTGCGGGTATCATTTTTATTACACTTTTTTATTACTCTATATAAATTACAATAATATAAACAAAAAAAACTTATTTTATTTAGGGCTGCATCGATATAATCCAAATCGACTACAATAAAAGTTAGATTAGACGTTTTACTTCCAATAATGATAAGGTATAAAATACCTAATTAATATTTTAATAATATATTGTTCAAATCATATTTTTTTCATATTTACACTTACTTAACATATTTATATTTACATATCGATGCCTCCAATGAACACTACTCTAACTAAAAATTTTGAAATTTTCGTTTTTCACGCAAATCGCTTCACTATTTTAAAAGTATTACAAATCATTATTGATGGGGTTCGAAGCAAGAGTACATCAGCTAGTTACACAAAAAAAAATCATAAATATATCTGCAATAATAAATATTTTATCAACTTTTTTCGTTTAAACGCTCCTCCTGTAAACCTACGAATTTGGAGTTAGCGTAGTGTTCATTGGAGGCATCGAAGTTACTGTTGAATAATATTATTATTTACATAGAATATAAAATGTACGGTTCACTGTTGTTTTCGAAACTTTTAAATTCGTTGTATTGTTAACTCGAATACTTATGAGCAATTAAAACTGTAAACAATTGAAGCATAAAAATATTAGTCTAAAAGTGAAACTGTTTTAATAACAAAAACGAATATATATTATTTATGTAAACAACATCACAAAATCAATGGAATGTAGCTTTTCTGAATGGAATGAAATAAAAAGTACAATAGTCAAATTATTTAATCTACAATTAATTTTATCCTCAAAGTTGGTATTTAAAAAAAAACTGGAAAAAAAACCATTTTTTTTGGATTTTAATTGAATTTCATAACAGTGTTCGTCTAATAAAGGACAGGCTTCCTTTTTTATGAAACCATTTTATCGCACGAAAAAAAGAACGTAGTTCCTATTTCACGACGTAATGAAAAAATGCCAACATGATTTGTCGTTTTAATTTGGTCACGTAATATTTTACACAAAAAAAAAACCTTAATGTGATATTAAAGGGCTCGATTCGTAAGTTATGTATTCTTCGATCGTTCGTTTCTTAAAAGTTGAGTCCGGCAGCGGAGAAACATTACCTATTTCTCAAGCACCGCTTGATTCCTTGATTAAATTACAATAAAAAACAACTTATGGCCTCAATTTCGCTATTGTTTCGCTTTGAGTTCCTTTGTTCTCAAGTCTCGAATTCGAGAGCGTTGAACGTTGGCTTCGAAAGGACGTATAACATTGATAAGCAGCATAGTATTGAAGCTGTTTTGTCTAGGGTCGATCTTGCTGAGCCTTGTTGCATTGCCGCAGGATGTTCGCCTAGAAAAATGTGCAGTCGAAAATATTATGAAGGCTTAGTGTGGATTGTTTTAGCTTTTTTTTTACCATTAGATGAAAAGAATAATCTATTCAAAGTATGTGATTGAGGTCGGAACTGGTGCTGGGCTACTATTCAAACCTTAAGCCACTTTAAAGCAGAACTCTGCAGAATGTTAGTTTCCATCCGTATGGCTTGCGATATGCCTTACCGCCACGGAAAATAGAGCTTTAAGTTCAGGAAAATAGGTCAGGATATAGGTAGTGATTGTAGATAAACTTGCATTTTACTTGCTTTTAAGGGGTTTGTGAAGCGGACACAGGGAAAGTTGTCGTTGTCTCGATTTGGTTTTTAGAAGTATCTGGTGAGCTAATGTGTATCTTATATTATTTCACTTCATTAATCTCAGAGAAAAAAATATATGCCTGCTATTTTGACGTGTGTCATCTATGATAATGTCTGACATTAGATAGTGGAAGAAAAATGCTCATAAAATATTTATACGTAGTTCGCGACTTATTTCAGGATGTTTTTAATATAAAAGTATATTAAAAAAAATTAAAATGTGGTGTCGTGGGACACCAGGTAGGAACGAAGTTCCTTCGGCTAATGTAGAATCGACACAATTTGCAAAAAATGAAATGGTGCTCAATTTTATGTAGGTTTTCTTGGTTTTTCTCTTAAATTTTGCTGATTAGTTTTTATTTAAGTACGGGAAAGTATTTAAGAAATTCAGTATTTTAGGAAATAATAAATCACGTAAAATAATAAAAATAGTAATTCAAATTATCAATTAAAATAACAAAATATATCTCTTTATTTTTGGTTGACAACATAAAATTACATAGAAATAGAAATAATTACTAAATAGAGAGAGAAGGGATTAGAGAACGAAAAGAAAGAAGGAGAAAGAGAAAGGTATTATACACTACTCGCTTGTGTATGTGACTGTCGCGCCTGCGCACGTCTCATTTAACGGTTTTATTCCACGCACTTTTTTCCACGGATTTTTCCACGCACTTTTTTCCACGGATTTTTTCTTACGGTTTTACTATCACATTTTTTTCAGTTCGGTCGCGCAGCAAAATCCCTATCCCCTCCAAGCCTGCCGTAAGGAACTTCGTTCCAAAAAAAATATTTTTAACACCATCATGGGCAGCTATGAAGAATGTAGATTGTACAAATAATGGTCTTTACGTACCGGACAGAACGTGAACTCTTGTTGATGAGGAAGGGGCGTTGTTTGGTCCACAAGTGTACATTCCGGCATCTTGACCTCTAGCCCTTTGGACCAGCAATCGACTAGTACTTTTAAGTCCCTTTTCAGTTACTAGCGATATTCCACCGCGAGCAGAATCAAAGTTTATTACCTGTTAAAAAGAAACCGTCACACTTGTGAGTTTTTATTTTTATTGCTTAGATGGGTGTGCGAGCTTACAGCCCACCTGGTGTTAAGTGGTTAGTGGAGCCCATAGACATCTACAACGTAAATGCGCCACCCACTTCGATATATAAGTTCTAAGGTCTCAGTATAGTTACAACGGCTGCCCCACCTTTCAAACCGAAACGCATTACTGCTTCACGGCAGAAATAGGCAGGGTGGTGGTATCTACCCGTGCGACTCACAAGAGGTCCTACCACCAGTGATTACGCAAATTATAATTTTGCGGGTTTGATTTTTATTACACGATGTTATTCCTTCACCGTGGAAGTCAATCGTGAACATATGTTGAGTACGTATTTCATTAGAAAAGTTCGTACCCGCCTGAGATTCGGAGACCGGTGTATCGCTCAACACGATGCATTCGGCGTTCGTCTTATCCTTGAGACCACGTCGACTTAAACTAAGCTAATTTTTACTTTTAAGACTCGAACCATATTGAGTTTAGCAGTCCTAATTTAAATTAAATGCTTACCTTTATATAAATATTTACCAGATAAGTCTTAGTATTTAATGCATAAATTGAAAACGTTAATTTCGTAACAAATTGCACAATACCTTTAGTAATTAATTCAATATACCTAACAATTTGTTTTGTAATGAGTAATTAGAATAGGATTCAAGTTGAAATGAAAACGACGTCTCGTATTAAATTATTTGAAGGCTCCATAGTACAAAAGTCCTAATTAAAATGAAAATGTTCGTTAAGCCTCCCATTACGTAATCAGGTTCAGAGCGTGAGAACGATTGACTCACAATCGGCTGCCATAGTCCGTATACCGCCGATTTAATTCCTTTAATCCGGGCATCCGGGGGGATTTGTCGCCAAATTTTGTGATTAGACAAATTTGTCAAGTTATTTAATGGTTGCCAAATTTCACGGTAGATTTATGACGTAATTACCGGGGAAATGTAACTTCGAAAATGAGCTCTCGGTTTTCATAATTAGAACCTTAATAAATATATAATAATATGTATAAATAACCGACAAATTGATTTCTTACAAGTTTTGGACTGAGTTTTATTTGTAACAACGAAAAAAAAAAACATTTATTACTATTCTAAAGTAATAACGTGTTTTGATTTGAAAAGTTTGCATGAATGACATTTTCGACAACTCTCCTATTCATGATGGCTTTCTAACATAGGCGAATATTGAATTTGTTTAATAGATCACGCAGCAAACTAAAACAAGACTATAATAATATGTATGTGGTATGTATATGATGGTCGAAAGTGCAGTAAAATTTTTCTTATTACCAAAAAATATTCTTAAGTAAATCGAATTACATATTTATAAAATTCCTAAAATTCTCCTACGAGTACATATTATACATAATATTCTTTGAAATGTATTTTGCCGCAGTTATGATAATATGTGAATAATGTTTGCTAAATATGTACATACAATAAGAGTATTCTTTAAATGGTAAGTGATTTATTATTTAAACGAGCTCATAATGCGTTTTAAATAGGTTCCTATTTCGTAAACGTCCATCTCCATAAACTTTGCAAGTTGCCTGATTTTTATTGTTTCCATTGCCTGTAATTATTAGCTAGAGATTTATTTATCACTAGTTGACCAGGCAGACTTCGTAGTGCCTCAATCGATAAATAAAAGGCCTAAACTTTTGTATAAAATAAACTTAAAACAAATAACTGGAATCCGTCCGACGGGACAAAATTGTTACTTTTATTTAATTCTGAACATTTTCATATTTATCTACCTTTTAAACCTTTTTTGGACTTTCACAAATAATTCAAGACCAAAATTAGCCAAATCGGTCCAGCCGTTCTCGAGTTTTAGTGACACTAGATTTCAAGGTCACAGAAATCGGCAGTACTACAAAAAATGTCATATGTATTGGAAGCCAATCCTATCAATCTCTATAGTTCTGCCATTTTCCTTACACTGAACGCATGTCTCCCCATAGATTAATTATGTATATCACTTTCACCTTTAAATGTTTTTTTTCGCTATTTAAAAACTTTCTGACTCGTGTTTCTTGTGATGCAGAAAATAAATAAAAAATCGAAGCTAGCAATCTTGAAATTCAATAAGAGAAGCCTCATCATGTATGAAGTCGACTGAGAAAACTTTTACTTTTTTCTTTTATGAAATCTGTATTGCGGTACTTATTTTTAAATTTAAAATTTTCAATCAAATAGCTGTGCGTGCGGACGTAAATTCATGATTATTTATGCAACTGTAATGTATAATTTATTTTGACTGGTGGTAGGACGTTTTACTGGTGGTAGGACTTCTTGTGAGTCCGCACGGGTAGGTAACACCACCCTGCCTATTTCTACTGTGAAGCAGTAATGCGTTTCGGTTTGAAGGGCGCGGCAGTCGTTGTAACTGGGACCTTAGAACTCATATCTCAAGGTGGGTGGTGCATTTACGTTATAGATATCTATGGGCTCCAGTAACCACTTAACACCAGTTGGGCTGTGAGTTCGTCCACCCATCTAAGCAATAAAAAAAAGCAATAAAGTGTAAAAATTGTAATGAGTCCGAAACATTCGAGTTTATAACACATCATTATCATTCTCCTGCCCTTCTCCCAGTCACCTGGGGTCGGCGCAACATATTTTCTCCTTCCATAATCCTCTATCACATACCATTTCTTCGCTTACTCCCCTCTTACAGATATTGTCTTTCACAAATCCATCCATTTCTCCTTATCTATCTCTTGCTCTATATCCTTCCACATTCATAATAATAATAAGCCTTTATTGTTGTTTTACTTACTAATCACTAACTTAATAAATTACTTAATAATAAATTAAATTTAAATGCAACTTATAATCAAGTATTCCGTTCGGCGTTCGGTGTGGTTTTCAAAACAACTTGTCTCTCGACAAACTCCTCTAAAGATTGCCAATATTCTCTATTTTTGGCCATTCGACTCCAATGCGGGCCGGCTACACTCTTTATTTCATCTTCCCAACGTTTTGGCTGTCTTCCTTTTTTCCTACAGTCATCCCGTGGGTACCACTCTGTAATTATTTTAGTCCATTTCTCGTATTTCTCTCTTAAGATATGTCCTGTCCATCTCCACTTCAGCGTTCTACTTATTTTGATTGAGTTTTTAAATTTAGTAAATCTTTTTATTCCGACAATCTTACTTTGTCTCTTCTCTTGACATCAGTGACACTTCTTTCTATGCTGTTCTGACATACCTGTATTTTATTTACTAATTTTTCGGTTAACGCCCATGTTTGGCAACCGTTCCACATTCATAGTTAATAATAATTCGAGTTTATAAAACAGTTTAAGCTTTAATATTGGCTATAGTAATGTTCAGTTACCTGGTCTCCGTGAGTCCAAGTTATGGAAGTTGGCGGTTCCGGCGTGTGCCGAACAGTGCATGTCAGGTTAATCGTGGAGCCGGCTTGGATAAAGAGCTCGGGACCGCTCGATATTATTGTCTCAGGTTCTGGAGCAAAAAAATGTGATGTCTTATTGACGTTACGTCATTACGGATCCTCCCGATCCATTAACGGTGCTTTTAGGTACCACAAGCACCGGTCACTGTCCTCGTCGAACCTATCGCTTGCGACTAAGGGCTCGACGAGCGAATTAACCCATAGACACAGCCCACTGAGTTTCTCGTCGGATCTTCTCAGTGGGTCGCGTTTTCGATCCGGTGGTAGATTCTGCGAAGCACTGCCCTTGCTAGCGTCAGTGTTAGTATCACTCCGGTTTGAGCCCCGTGAGCTCACCTACTAGTTAAGGCGACGCTGATGTAGCCTCTCAAGGCTATCAGCTACATGTAGGAAAAAAAAAGTCTGGACTTAACGATTCATTATCATTCCTTCGCATGCGTCATTTAACTTACCTACAATATTGAGGAAGACAGCATGTCCGATAGGTGGTGTGGTCGAGATCTGACACTCGTACTGGCCGGAGTCGCGTCGCTGTGGACTGCGGATTCGAAGCGCCCACTCCTCGGAGCGCGGCTTGTGTTGCGCCTCGAACCGCTGATCCGACGTGTAAGTATATCGTCCCACAGTCAGCAAATGGATATCTCGATGCCTCACCCATGATACCTAATAAAAATTAAAATTGAAACAACGAATCCAGGTTTTTTTTAAATAGTAATAATAGTATCGAACGGCTGTCTAAATTTAAAATCGACTGAGAAATAAATTCAAACCTGGAAAATTTCATAAATTTACGCAATTACTAGAAGTATGTATTGTGGTTTCGAAGATTATATGGACATATAAGATTATATAGATCTATTGTTCCTGCATAAACTTGCTAATGGAGAATACGATGTCCCTAAACTCTTATATCTTCTGAACTTTAATGTGCTGCTGACGTCGACAAGGGCTTCGAAGTTGATGGTGTTCAGGGTTCCCAGATACTTTTTTTTTTTTTTTTTTTTTTTTTTTCCGGGCCGAGGGCCGAACCTCCTACGAGGTCCCCGCGCCTAGGGGGCGCGCGGGGTATGTGAGACTCAACGATCTGCAGGTGTTGAGAGCAGACCACGGGCCCAAGGAATTTAGGGCCCACCCACTAAACGACTCCCCTGCACTCTTACACCCGGCGTCCGATCTCCGTCCGGGGTCAAAACCCGGTCAGAGTAGGGGGGTTCCCGCGGTCAACACTACAACCAGACACGCGGCGCCACCCCGAGGACGCCCGACCGACGGGTCGTCGAGGCGATAGTCGACGACCAACGACGTCAGTCTCCGCGGTACGGCGGCCCTTTAGGCCGCCCGGGCGATGCCGCTGGTGTTCCGGAATACCCCGCTGGGCCAGAACCAGCCTGCCGGGTCGGAACGCAATACACCGCCGACCGGGTTGCTCTTCCACAGTATGTTCGGCGACGACAGCGACGACGAAAATGCGGACCGCATCGCAGTCCGCAGCCGCCGACGCGTCGTCCCGTCTTCCTGGTGCCAGCGCGCTAGAGTGACGGTAGCGTGCGGCGCAGTCTCAGCCCCCTTAGGGTTCCCAGATACTACACCAAACTCGGTAAGAACGCGCCTCTCAGCAGACTAGTTGGGAAATTAAACAGTTTGCATAGCAAGTTTTATCTGGACGTTTTTGCTGGCAATGTTGACAGTTTTAGACGAGAAGTCCACAACCTTGCTCAATGAGCTTTGGTAGTAAATGTGTAATCATGTAAGGTTTTCATATAATGTTATGTACCTATAGTTTTTTTTTATACAACGAACCGCTTTTTTGATCAATGCATTCAGTCGTTACCTGTAATTGTGTTAACATTTAGTGTGAAATCAATGTATATGATACCTGTAATGTTTTGTGCTGATGTATAACCTGTTGGTAGCCAATAAATTAAATAAAATATATTTACCGTACTTCTATTACAGTTGAGACATCTATATCTCTCATAATTCAAAGTGTCTACAAGCTTAGGTGATCGCTTAGCACCAATTAAGGCAAAATTTCACAGGCCATTTAGTAAAAAAAATATGTTGTAATTCTTTTTACCAAATAAAATTATATTCAAGTCCGTAATATCAGTTCCGCAATACTTATCATTTGTTTCTTTTACCCTTTTCAAGGCAAACAAAAAAGTAGATGGCACACTTAGATTATTCCAACTTACGGTTTAAATATACCATTTATTTTTACCATTTTATCATGGCACGCTCAGGAAATTGTTATTTTATCTTTGTAGGATTTGAATTGTTAACATCACGAAAAAAAAAATTATAAGAATGACGTAAATATTAAACAAAAGAGAAACGTTTTATTTTCCATTAAGAACGTGACACTGAAAGTATTCCTTGTTTAAACTTTCCTTCATTTAAATCCATGGACCCATATAACTAAGCTAATTGAAACTTGAATGTAGCGGAAACGAAAACCCTTTTTGGCAGAATGAATCAATTTAATGAATGCTATCGAAATTGGTTACTGCCCAGAATTTCTTCACTTCTTTGAAGTTATTTAATTCCAACGAGTATTCTTATTTCCATGACTCATTAGCATCTGCATTTGCATTTTTACAAAGTATCGTTAGTCAGAACTCAGTCCTTCGTTTTAACTTCTTCGTTGACTTTGTATTTCAAATGGCACAATTACTCCTTTGATGGTGTTTCATGAAGGATAAAATTAACACAAACTTTACGTATTAATCTTAAGCTACATCTGGTACAATACTACTTAGAGAGTATTACAGGTAGGTCGTTTTGTGAGTCCGCACGAATATACACCGCAATACTGCTCGTCTTTGCCCTGAAGCATTATGATAGCATTATGATAATGATTAACAAAATTGACTACTCAAAAGCTATTTTAAAACAACAACTAAAATTCACATTTATATTACCCATCAGTGTTTAATAGAAAATTATTTTCTAGACACGAATATTGCAGCAAATCTGAGGTCAACACATTGGTTTTTATTGCCATTAACGATAGATACGGTCCGCGGTTTTTAATTTGAGTTTAATCGTCGAGAACGAAGAATTTGAGACTCGTTGTATTCTGTTCTGCAAAATGATGTTCCGCCTATTAAAAAGTTTGGAGCGTTTCTTAAGAGACTTATAATTCAACAGGACAACAAAGCTATAAAAAAATAATGGTGTTTACAAACAGCAGTTTCGTGCGTGTGTTTCCGTCTTTTATATCAGAGCAGGAATTTTATAAGACATCTTCTCGAGGTTATGCTACAAAAAGTTAAGACGCTACGAATCAGTAGTCTTTCACAGAAACCTTAAGAAAAAAATACCGTTAGTTTTAAAAATAAATATAAACTAGCGACCCGCCCTGGCTTCGCTTCGCTTATTATACATATTAACCTTCCTCTTCAGTCACTCTATAAAAAAACCGCATCAAAATCCGTTGCGTAGTTTTAAAGATTTAAGCATACATAGGGACAGACAGATGTAGGGACAGAGAAAGCGACTTTGTTTTATAATATGTAGTGATAAAGAAATATTTTGAATATAGAATGGATAGATACAGTAACTGCCTATCGATTTAATAATTTCGCACAAGCTAATTGATTGCAGCTGCCATTGATATTTCGATTGCTGTTTTACTTAATTTGTTTATTAGTTCATCTAATGAAATGAAAGCAATCACAGCACTATACGCTTATAACGTTAGTTTAAAAATAGCAAATATTTTCCTTCAGTTATTTGTTGATGCATGAAAATTCAGATTGAACAGCGGGTGGAACGCAGGACAAACAAAAAATGAAACAACATCTGCACAATTTTGATGAAACCTCTCTCCGTTATGGTTAGCGTAATAAAGGTCGAAAATATAATTGTATTTTTGAAATCGACTAATTTATTGATGTTTTACATATGTGGAACTTATTCATTTCTACTTAAATTTAAGCTGGTCTACTTAAATTACTAATTTAAATATACTTTTTTTTTCTGGATATAGACAGATGGAGTCAAGCCTTACAAGCAGTAGAGCGTTTTTTGACAATAAAGAAGATATTTGGAAATCCATTGAAATGCTTTAGTTTGAATACCCACATTAGTTTGATTTAAGTAGAAAATGTGAACACAAGAAAAACTCTGGAAAGAATATGATTCTAACTAATGTCTGAGAAAAAATAAATTATAAATCAGTCCCTGGAAAGAGCTAACAGTTGTCAGAATAAATATACGACCGGCAAAAAAATGTATGATAACGAATGTTAAATAAAGTTATGCATCGTTAATTTAATATTAAAAATTAGAAAATTATTGAAGTATGTATGTTGTTTTCATCGTTTTAAATCAATTTATATCCCAAATTATTCCAGTTTATATTATATAAATCTTTGGGATAAATAAATATTTAAGTTTAGATTCAATTAATCAGAATAACAGTGCATTGTATGTAAAGTCTGAAGTCGTCGTGGCCTAAAGGATAAGACGTCCGCTGCATTCGTATCGAGCCACGCACCGGTGTTCGAATCCCGCAGGCGGGTACCAATTTTTCTAATGAAATACGTACTTAGCAAATGTTCACGATTGACTTCCACGGTGAAGGAATAACATCGTGTAATAAAAATCAAACCCGCAAAATTATAATTTGCGTAATTACTGGTGGTAGGACCTCAAGTGAGTCCGCGCGGGTCGGTACCAACGCCCCGCCTATTTCTGCCGTGAAGCAGTAATGCGTTTCGGTTTGAAGGATGGGGCAGCCGTTGTGACTATACTGAGACCTTAGAACTTATATCTCAAGGTGTGTGGCGCATTTACGTTGTAGATGTCTATGGGCTCCAGTAACCACTTAACACCAGGTGGGCTGTGAGCTCGTCCACACATCAGCCATAAAAAAAAATTCATCCACGAAGCTGTCACATTGATAACCACGATAATTGTTCTTCAATTTCAACTGCATAAAATATTCAGAAATATTTGAACATTCAGATGTATTGTATCTCCGTACGGAATACATTTACAACAGATTTTTCCGGGTTCAATAGACTTAAGGATGGTAAATCTATTGGCACAGTGAAATTCTCCTCTGTAATAAGATTTCTTAGTAGATGTGCGGGCCAAATGGGGCTCTTACTAACATATGTGTCGATGTTCTGTTTTAATTCAGACACGTATTCAACATTTGTCGATTTTATTGAGTTTTGGATTACACCATTTCATGTAATTATTTTTCACTGTTCTAATAATTATCTATTTCAAAACAGTAAGTGCAAATTTGTGTTTATACATATATAGATCTATTATTAATAGAGTAACTATAATATAGACAAGTAAATATTTGCTTCTGTGGCAGTCCATTCATTTTCTTTTTCTATTTCGTTACTATTTTAATACCTTCTATATAGATAAATGTTTGGTATCTCAATCTTGAGTGAAAATCTCGAATTTCAATCTTTAGGCGAACACAAGTATGTTTAATTGTAATTTAATTAATACAATAAATCTTCAATTCTCATAGGTAATTATTATTAGACACTTCACGAAAAAAATCATAAATGCATTGGTTTAAAATTGTATTGAGTGGGGACGAGCTTGGCCTAACAAAATTGTCTCCACTGACTTGGTCTATACTAACATTTTTCTGCATCACACAGTATATCCGTCGGAATTACTTTAGAGTATGATACATGTTCCTTACTTAGCTCTATAATGTCGATATTCGATATAATAGAATACTCACGGTCCTATTCTTCAAGTTCTTAACCCTGCAGAGTAGCCTCACGGGATGACCGACCAGTCCAGTAATATTCTTCGGTGTGCCCGGATCGAAGTATGGCGCATCCGGAGACCCTTGCCACTCGTGTAGGAACTCAGCACGAAACTGTCGCGAAGACATGTCTGTTGTTGTGCCTTCGGGAGACTCCGTACCAGAGTCAGCTGATACAAAAGAAAATGCTTTAACAATTACAAAATAAATATTCTAGATTTTAATATTGTGCGATAAATATGCTTTGTATTTTTATGTATTGTAGTGGTCTATGTAACAGCACTAAAAGTAGGTACTTAAAAGCTTGTTGCTGTATTTTCCTCATAAAATACATACAAGATTAAGTGGATTTCGTTGTCCATAAGCCAATGGTTGTGTCAAGATATAGATATGATGAATTTGTTCATCGACCACATCTTGTAAATAAATTATGTGGATTTATTATTTTGGCTGTGTTATGTGTAGACTAGCATCACCCAATATTTTTCCTTGTTTCCACCCAACATTTTTCCGTATCGTAAAGAACTTCGTGATACACCGAATGACTAATAGCGTTTTCTGAGTATTATACCAATGTACTACGACCGTTAACTGACATTTAATGGTGGTGAGGCGCATAGTAAGCATGCATTAGATACGTTATGATGCATTAGATACGTTATGTTACTTATTTCTGCCGCGTAGTAGTGATGCTTTCCGGGTTCAAGGGTGAGACCCCCCACAAAAAAAGAAAAGACAATAATGTATGACAAAGAAGAAGAAGACAAATCAAAGAAGAACAGAAAATCCGTCACGTCAATCGGAAATATTGAATATAAAGCTACAGAAAATCACACTAGAACTTACACAACTTGTGATGCACACTTAAAATTTAATTAAGCGATTTCTGAAAACTCCGTATAATGAGTTTCGTATTTATTAATGGAAGTGGCGTTAAAGTTTAAATTAGTTTCGGTTGAGTGGTGCAAAACGATGCTTCCGGCCAACCGCGACGCTTTTTAGCATAGCCTTAAAGTAAATAATCGAATCTTTATTTATAATTAATTTTTAAAGGAAAAAATTAATAAATACGTCGTTATAGTCGCTGTTTCCGGGTATTCCCGTCTCTGCCGTGTTTGAAATTTTATTCTATAACAATAAAAAAGTCGTCGTTTAATAGCAGAAAAAAAAATTGGTTAAATCACCGTCCATTAAATTATTCTTATCCAAAAAAAATCGATAACGCGTTTTAAAGGATTTTATTTTATTAAGTTGTTAGCTGTTCAGCGTATCTTAAGAATAGTGCTGCTCTTCGTGCGGTGCTTTTATGAATTTAACGGCCAATAATGTGATAACTCAAATGGATTTCTGTATTACGATAATGAATAATAAGTTTAAAGCTTCTGCCGTAATATGGTTCATGAAGATTTCTTCTTGAAAATTTAGATTCGTAATTCATGAATAGAAATGTACTTAAACCACTACAAGGTATTTTTTTTATTGCTTAAATGTCGACCGATTCGTCTGCTTAATTCGTATATCATAATGATTAATTAGAAACAAAACAAATCAATTTGTATTTCTTTATTGCTTTTAAGATAGATGAGCATTTGGCCCATCTAATGATGAACGTGTATCGTCACAAATGTATCTAGTAAACCTACTGTAGATACGCACAAATAGTCTTATGTTAATAGGGACTACTTTAAGGTTGTGATGTTTATGGTTTTCGGTAACCAATTAATACCAGGAAGGCCATTATATCATACATCCACATAAGATATAAAAAAGTGTGTGTGTCCGCTCCGACGCACGACTGGAGTTTACTGGATATAAATATAAATTTGTGTCAGTTGAATACAGTAAAATATGGAAGTTACGTATTCTAGTGAGAATGATCCGGGAGTTGCGGAACACGTGGATGCGGTAATTAAGTAAGTCTATATAATTCACTTTTACAATTAATATATAAGTTGTCCATTCACTNGCAACGATGCAACGCAATAACTGCAACACGGTCTTCTTTAAGCGTCCACTCCATATTTAAAAATGAGTAAAATTCTAAAAGTATACATTTTTATTTTCATGAACAATTTGAAATTCGAATTCAATAAACTTTTTTGTGGCCAGCATTCTAAAAGAAAAGTTTTTACTGTGTGACAATACTTATGACCTGACTAGTTATATAGATCTATTATTAATAGAGTAACGAGAATATAGACAAGTAAATATTTGCTTCTGTGGCAGTCCATTCATTTTCTTGTTCTGTTTAGTTACTATTTCCATACCTTCTATATAGAGAAATGTTAGGTATCTCAATCTTGAGTGAAAATCTCGAATTTCAATCTTTAGGCGAACACAAGTATGTCTAATTGTAATTTAATTAATACAATAAATCGTCAATTCTCATAGGTAATTATTATTAGACACTTCACGAAAAAAATCATAAATGCATTGGTTTAAAATTGTATTGAGTGGGGACGAGCTTGGCCTAACAACATTGTCTCCACTGACTTGGTCTATACTAACATTTTTCTGCATCACACAGTATATCGGTCGGAATTACTTTAGAGTATGATACATGTTTCTTCTTAGCTCTACAATGTCGATATATTAGAATACTCACGGTCCTATTCTTCAAGTTCTTAACCCTGCAGAGTAGCCTCACGGGATGACCGACCAGTCCAGTAATATTCTTCGGCGTACCCGGATCGAAGTATGGCGCATCCGGAGACCCTTGCCACTCGTGTAGGAACTCAGCACGAAACTGTCGCGAAGACATGTCTGTTGTTGTGCCTTCGGGAGACTCCGTACCAGAGTCAGCTGATACAAAAGAAAATGCTTTAACAATTACAAAATAAATATTTTAGATTTTAATATTGTGCGATGAATATGCTTTGTATATTTGTATGTATTGTAGTGGTATATGTAACAGCACTAAAAATAGGTACTTAAAAGCTTGTTGCTGGATTTTCCTCATAAAATACATACAAGATTAAGTGGATTTCGTTGTCCATAAGCCAATGGTTGTGTCAAGGTATAGATAATATGATGAATTTGTTCATCGACCACATCTTGTAAATAAATGATGTGGATTTATTATTTTGGCTGTGTAGTTTGTAGACTAGCATCACCCAATATTTTTCCTTGTTTCTACCCAATATTTTTTCGTATCGTAAAGAACTTCGTGATACACCGAATGACTAATTGCGTTTTCTGAGTATTATACCAATGTACTACGACCGTTAACTGACATTTAATGGTGGTGAGGCGCATAGTAAGCATGCATTAGATACGTTATGATGCATTAGATACGTTATGTTACTTATTTCTGCCGCGTAGTAGTGATGCTTTCCGGGTTCAAGGGTGAGACCCCCCACAAAAAAAGAAAAGACAATTATATAAGACAAGAAGAAGAAGATAAATCAAAGGAGAACAGAAAATCCGCCACGTCAATCGTAAATATTGAATATCAAGTTACAGGAAATCACATTAGAACTTACACAACTTGTGATGCACACTTAAAATTTAATTAAGCGATTTCTGAAAACTTCCGTATAATGAGTTTCGTATTTATTAATGGAAGTGGCGTTAAAGTTTAAATTAGTTTCGGTTGAGTGGTGCAAAACGATGCTTCCGGCCAACCGCGACGCTTTTTAGCATAGCCTTAAAGTAAATAATCGAATCTTTATTTATAATTAATTTTTAAAGGAAAAAATTAATAAATACGTCGTTATAGTCGCTGTTTCCGGGTATTCCCGTCTTTGCCGTGTTTGAAATTTTATTCTATAACAATAAAAAAGTCGTCGTTTTATAGCAGAAAAAAAACTTGGTTAAGTCACCGTCCATTGAATTGTTGTCATCCAAAAAAAATCCACAGTACATTAGCCTGTATCTATTTCAATTGTAATTTTGTTTTAGCTAAACCTGTAATTCAATGGTTTCAGGTAATAAATAGGACCATTGCAAGTCAGCGTAGTAGAAACAGAAAGAACTCTTAAAGTGAGGATTATCTCTTGCATTTCTATACCAATAAAGTCCAGATTTCAGTAAGCAGCAGTTTCGCTGTGCCTCTGTCATTGTTGAGGTCTACCAGAAATTATTACAGCTTATATTTCTGCCGTCCACCTCAAAATCATCAATGGCAATAAAGAAAACCTTATTGGCCCCACTCTTCAGGTTATTACGAGATTAAATTTCCACACCAATAATCTTGTTTTTATTAATTATTCTTATTTTAAATCAAGCTTTAATCCGGTGATTTGGAAACCTAATGGAAAACGTTGATATGTGTAGTAATCAAATTATTTCACATCAGGGACGAACGAAAATATCAGCGAATGCTCAAAAAGAGTTCATGTTGGTTTGTGGGTTGATGTTTGCTTGATGTTTTCGTTTTTTGAGAAAATCACCACCCTATGTTAAGCCTCACCAAAAATGTGCCACTTCAGTCAATTTCCTGTGGCAGTAAAACATTTATCTAGTTGCTCAAGTTTATTAACTTAAAAAGTGCCTTTTGATAACGCGTTTTAAAGGATTTTATTTTATTAAGTTGTTAGCTGTTCAGCGTGTCTTAAGAATAGCGCTGCTCTTCGTGCGGTGCTTTTATGAATTTTACGGCCAATAATGTGATAACTCAAATGGATTTCTGTATAACAATAATGAATAATAAGTTTATAGCTTCTGCTGTGATATGGTTCATGAAGATTTCTCCATGACAAATTTTATTCGTAATTCATGAACAGAAATGTACTTCAACCACTACAAGGTCTTTTTTTATTGCTTAGATGTCTGGACGAGCTCACGGCCCACCTGGTGTTAAGTGGTTATCGGAGCCCATAGAACCCCTAAGTGCCGCCACCCACCTCGAGACATGAGTTTCAGTTTTTATAGTACAACAACTGTCCTCTTTTCTAACCGAAACAAAATACTGCTTCACCGCAAAAATAGGCAGGGGATGGTCCCTACCAGTGCGGACTCACAAGATGTCCTACCACCAGTAATAAATCTACTTCGCTTATTCACTGTCGACCGATTCGTCTGCTTAATTCGTATATCATAATGATTAATAAGAAACAATACAAATCAATTTGTATTTCTTTATTGCTTTTAAGGTAGATGAGCATTTGGCCCATCTAATGATGAACGTGTATCGTCATAAATGGATTTAGTAAACCTACTGTCGATGCGCACAAATAGCCATAATATGTTAATAAGGACTACTTTAAGGTTGTGATATTTATGGTTTTCGGCAAGAACAAATGGCATAAAATATACGAAGAATCGAAGAAGAATGATTACTTTACAACAAATGAAAATAGTTTAATCAGATTTTAATCCAGTTCAATACATTTAATGTAGTATGACCTAAAAGACAAAAAGCGCTTTTCCCCACTGAAAGGTTCATAAAAATCACGAAATTTCTGCTCCAGATATCAGGTTTTACGGAGATCTATTGGGTTTTTAAGACACGACGTTCACAAGCACCTACAAGCCACGCATTTAACATAACATCGTCGCTCTCGCTATTCAGAGCCAGTCGACTGAACGGAAATAAAGTATACGAACCTTGTACCGAGACTAGGGACACCATGACTTTGCTTTATGCAAAAGAAAATGGCAAAAAAACAAAAAAAAAAACTTCAGAGGTGTCAAGGGACACCCGGATGGAACGAAGTTCCTTTCGATTAATTAGTGAAGGAATTGTAATTATTTTTTTAAGTTATAATAATAAATTACGGCATTATGAAGAAGAAAAAAACAATACTATGAACTAAATTACTATTGTTGAAACGATATCTCGAGAAACTGTACTCATTACGCGGACCAATCGGATACGAGTAATGTCACGCGATAAGCGCCTACATGTTGATTGGTCAGAATGACGGATCTAACAAGTGTCGTGACAACTTTTCGTAAGATTTTTTTCCGTCTAGCCCCCTTTCACAACGCGCGATAAGGAACTTCGTTCCAAAACCTCTTTTTTATCTTTAGTGTAATAAATTTATGAGAACATGGTTATCATTAATTATCACGCTCAGAGGAGTTTTGAAGAAAAAAATGGAATTTTTGTTGTTGTATTGACGGCATAATAATATGGTCATCAGGTGCATCTAGTGTCATCAGCGAGTTATCACCGAAGCTTATGGCCATCAGTAGAACCTCTGAGAACTTTTTTCAACCTTGTAACATAAAAGCATACTTTATCACAGTCGTAAACCCTATCGAATGGAAGGGATGAGTTTTTTTCTGGGACTAAGACAGTTCTCATTTCGAGAATCGTTTGAAGAGGATCGAAACGGCCCAGATACGGCTTCGGCAAATTAAAGGCAACCATTAAATCAGAATATTTATAAGAGCAACAGTTTATCAATGGGTTACCTTATTTTGGTAATGGACTAAACCAGCGGTGCGCCTCTACTGAAATATTCATACAAATAAACGGGGCACTGTCCCGGAGAAGTACGCACGGATGGTGATCCCACTTTTTCTCATGATTTACGGGCATACATCATTCAGTTTGAGAAAATTGTATCCTCATAGTGTTGCGAGCTTGACTGCCTTTTATTGGGAAACAGCTAATACACTATAAAATGGTTTATTATTTTATTTTGCGTTAAAAAGTAATGGAACCCAGAGATTTAGTGTTTTTTTTCTTTTAATCCGTTAAAATATAATTGATGTTATAGAAGTTTATGTTTAGATTCCATTAAAAAACTTATTTCGTTAGTTTTCGAGATTTATTTTTATTTATAGCAAATTCCAGTCACGCTCCGCTGTGACAATCGCAATACACAACGATGTTTAATATATGTAGATTTGTTTAAATTAGCTAAACGAAAGCTAAGCCCACTGTAAGTTTTTGGTGTACGGTTTCGAGCAAGTGCTTATTACTTATAAGTGGACAAATTTTGATCCCTATTGGATTAACGATATGGCAGCGCATAACAAGAAAAACCAAACATTAAAATTTAATATTAAAGTAGTGGAACCCAGAGATTTAGTGCTTTTTTTCTTTTAATGCGTTAAAATATAATTGATGTTATAGAAGTTTATGTTTCGATTCCATTAAAAAAAACTTATTTCGTTAGTTTTCGAGACTTATTTTTATTAGTAGCAAATTCCAGTCACAGAGCGTGCTCTGTCGTGGGTATTACTATATGTAAACAGATATGTGTGTTAATCGTGTAGCTTCGCTATTATCATATTGTGTCATAAAACTTCCCCGGAAAGCTAACGACAATTCTACCAAGATATATCACTATTGGAGAAATGGCTTAGAAACGCAGAATGACGCAGCGAGAAGGAACAAAGAAACATTGATTTTATTATTATGGGATAATTATTTGATTTTAATACTTATTCAACTTCACAGACTGTTTTTCTTATATTTATATACTAGCGACCCGCGCTCGCTTCGCTTCGGTAACTGTAATTTATTATTGATTTCTCCACTATTTAATGGATGTCATTATACATATAAACCTTCCTCTTCAATCACGCTATCTATTAAAAAACTGCATCAAAATCCGTTGCGTAGTTTTAAAGATTTAAGCATACATAGGGACAGACAGATATAGGGACAGAGAAAGCGACTTTGTTTTATACTATGTAGTGATTACTGCATTGCGTGAGACCATAATGATAGTTCATATAATTCCTATGATCATTAATTGTGGCGAGAAAATTTGCCTGTTATATGTCGGCCACATAACCGATACCACTATTCGAGCAACTCGTGTCGTTACAATTTCGAAGAAAAAGTCTTTTCATTTATTTCTGCCACAAAATCGATTTTCTCCGAAATTTGCAGGAGAGTTTTTTTTATCAGAATATTCAGATGTTTACGTCTTACTTAAAGTGTTACGTACTTACCGACGAGGAAAAAGAATCCATGCAGAAGAGATAGCCATAAAACGGGTCTGGCTCCGCTCACGATAGGGCCCATAACGACCGTAAGGTATCGATATCTGGAAACATACTGAAGTGTTAATAACCTTAATATAGATTTTTTTAGCACGTTGAAAATTATTGACACAATAATAGCATTAACGTGCTTAGAGCAACTTAGGTATCGCATACGTTCGAGTATTTTTGGGTTCCAGAAACTAATATTTTTTTGAGAATCAAACTAAAACCTAATTTAAGTTCTTTAGAAACTGTGTATGTTGAGATCCTATTCTTATTGTTATCAATGCCGGTAATGTCGATGCATTTGTAGCCGATCGATGGTTTATAGCTTGATCTTCGAAATTACGTATTGAAATTGTTTTTCTTAACAGTTAGAAATAAAACGACGCATTTGTTGGTTTGTTCGTAGAGAGAAGAATTTTTTTATTTTAAATATTACTTAAGTGACATATGTCATGTTCTGGATATCATTCCCCATTTTTGGTACCTATTAACATTATCGATGTTTCGGTACAAAACTTGGGATCATTTATAGCTACCTTGTTGATTTCTGTGATACATTTCATATTCATTGAAAATTTTGTACTCGTAATAGAAACACTGGAAAGGACTGGAGGAGGCCTTCACCCGAGGAGGGGTCCATATCGAATAACAAAAATTAACTCGTACTAACATTTAGACAATAAGCATTAATAACTAACTAAACACTAACAAATAAATACCACATTTCAAATGAAAGTTCAGGATAAGGAAATACAGGCTTTTTTAATTTTTTATTTTATTTTTTATTTTATTTATAATAGAAACACTAATGCTTTTCCTGAACATAGACGGTCAAATAATTATTGTTGTTAGCTGTAATTATTTATTTGTTTTTGTTGATTAACGTAACTCAGAACGGGAGGGCTTTAACCAACCCTTTGTTTATTTCTGATCGAAAGCAGTCACGCTTTTACACTTTGAGAGTCTAGTGTTATTCAATACTATCATATCTTCGACTGACTCGACGATGGAATTTTTTTAGCGCTGCTGAGTGCTGACTTGAGTTCGGTTTCCACATTAGGCAAACGTTCGTGTGATGATCAGGTTTGTTTGGTCTTTACCTAGGCTTTTAATTTCTTTGTATATATGTGGGAATTATGTTTTCTTGAACGCATGATAATATGATGGATGCAAGTTGATGTTTGTGAACGCAGCGGTATATCGAGAATGAAAGGGGATGACGTGTGAGATGACAGATGAACGACGACGAACGAAGCACGAAGCACGAGCACGACGAAACTATTATAATTTGAATTAATAGTATTGTAATAAAACGTGGAAGTAACCGCGAAACTTTTATTCATTGTCTGAAGCCTGCATCCCACATATATTTAAACGCATCTAAATATGTATATAATGATATGGAGTATTTCAAAACGAATAAACATCAAAAGACTTAATTGCGTTTTCTGCTATATAATAAAAAAAAAACATTTTAAGCCCTTAATTTCTTTTAAAATTAATATTGTGGCGGTGGCCATCACAGAACACGAGATATTTGGCAGATGCCTGAATCTCGCTTACGACATTTTTAAGATAAGCTTGCACATAATATACAAGTTCCGAACAACAACATAAGGACTGTTGGTCTACCGAGCAATATCACCCGCTCGATGGAAGATCTCTCCTTTCGTTGTTCTACCTACGATATTGAATATTAAACAGTAAACAGTATTAATAAACTATACAAAACTGAACTCTCTTTTTACTGAATGCTATACTGCACTCCATGACACTGAAGAAAAATCCTTTTTAAAAACTAAAGAGTTTTAAATAATAAAGGTTTTATTTACATGTATATCGGTCTGTGTTTCCCATATTCCCCTTCCCATCTAATGTTAGTTTGAGGTCAGGTGGCAGTATGTGACTGTCATGATAATCAGGAACTTGAATTACTTATCATTGATTAGGCAAGTGCACCATGGAGCTTATCTACTGAATCACGATTAAAAGAAGAGTGACTGATACATTTGTCGTCTTGTGCGAATTTAGAGCTAAAAGGGTTTCAATTTTTTTTTTCCACCGCCATCCAACCGAAAGTTCCAATTACCATAAAATGTCAATCCAAAACTGGAATTTGCATAAAGCCATTCCTTCAATCTCCTAAAACGAAAATAAATTGGGAAAAGAACAGTCGATTTTCACTACAAAAGACGGAACATTCAATCGCGCAGGCTTTAAACAAGAGTAGATAACGCTGATTTTATCTGTCTGCAGTGTCGCGCAGCGGCCCTTGTGTTATCTCGGGGATAAGTCTCCAACGTTGCGTTGTTTTAACATCTGATTCTAAGTAGAAGTTACTTTTAAATTACACTTTTATTTAAAAAAGATGTGTGGTGTCGTGGGACACCGGATACGAACGATTTTAAGTTACGTTTTAAGTTCTTAAGGTATAAAGAAAATAATTTTTCGGGTAGGTATACATTTTTTATTATGATTTTTTTATTCATAAAAATAATCGCAAGGGTCTACCACTCCGCAGTGCAATGGAGCAGCCTCGCCCGGGGGATCCGCCTGCATGATCACGGTATCCCCTACGCCAGGTAAGTATGATTTAGCAAGAGAAATACGAGAACGTCTATCAACTGTGTAACGGCTCGTCACCGCGATTCAGGAATTGTTGAATTTACATCTATTGATAACAAAATAAATAGAAAAAATCTTACGTTACGGACGTTTTTTTCCGGTCAGGGTACCCCTCCGCATCGTCCCATAAGGAACTTTGTTCCAAAACTTCCATAGTTTAGATTTTCATGATCTTAAAACGATAAACATTGGTTTCAAACATTGGCGAAAAACTGGTCCAGTGAAGGAATTTAATTATAGACATGAAAGGAATTAGGCTGGTAGGCACCTTTCGGGGTAAGTGACGGAGAACGAGGACGTTTTAAGATCAAAATTCTTTTTCAGCTTACGAATAAAAAGGTCAAGTAGAACGTTGAATTTGTCACATCAGTTGTTGTATTAAATGGACAAGCTTGAGCAGGATTTAATCATAAATTTAGATACGAAAATCGGAGTAGCCTTGATCAGTATTCGTTATAAAAAATTATATTTCTTGGTTTTAAGTGTTCAATGAAGCATTAGATAACAGAACGTGACTATTAGTCACAATATCAATCGACCTCATGTCTCAAGGCGGTACGACGCGAGATCGAAGTTTTAAGTTTAATTGTATAGTTATATTTAAGTATCGTATAATCAAACGGTTAACTATAGAGTTTAAATTTACTGCATTCCAAACATTTGTGTCCATATGCACCTGAATCTATAATCCCAAACATCGTGTCTAACAAATCCAGTCGTCAAAAATCAGAATGCGTAAGACGTAACCATAACATTGGCCCATAGAAAGATACGTTTGTCTTTATCTCGTTTGAGTTATTGCTTGGTCGGAGACATTAAAAACTTTTACACTTACGTACCGGTATGTAGAGTGACCACACATTTTAAATATAGTACGGACCAGAGAAGTGACAAGTCTAAAAATACACTTTATAGATCGTAATTTTAAAGAGTAATAATACCATTCAGCCCCATTGAATTTAATAATTTATCTTGGAGTGTCTGTTTGTAATATTGAAATAACCGCTTTTTACTACATGCATATACAGTACATACACCAAAATAAAAATTTTTACAATTTTTGTATGTCTGTATGTCTATCTGTCTGTTTGTTCCGGCTAATCTCTGGAACGGCTGGACTGATTTTGACGGGACTTTCACTGATAGGAAGCTGATGATATAAGGAGTAACTTTTTTTAGACTAGCTTCGCCCCGCGGCTTCACCCATGGTACATCAATAACCGCGGGTAACATCGCGGGACTCAGCTATCAATAATGAAATTTTATGTTTCCGAAGCGAAGCAAGGGCGGGTCGTTAGTTTTAAATAAGATCATACGCCTACTCGCGAATTTGTACTCACTGACATTTACGCTTACTTTCATTAGATAAATAACAAATTTATATTTACGCTGATTTCATTCTGAATAAGATATAAAGTGTCTTATATAATTTTACATACATTATATATAAGATGTACATAATATTGTAAATAATCTCCTCACTGAACAAGGCAATGTAAGATATTTAATATGTTTTAAAAATCGGTAGTGGGATTATATATGGTATTGAAATAATACCATTAACTATGTCATTTATAAAAGTTGATTTACGTATACATACACATCGTATAAGTATCAAATTTATTTGTTGTGTCCGTTGAGAATATATACTTTTGAAGTACTATAAATGTAAGTACAGAGACTTCATCGAATATGACGCGAAATTGACTTATTTAAAAACTATCGAAAATTTACAAATCATAATCAAACGTTCAAGCCAATAAAATTTGTTGGTTTTGGAATTCGTCATCGAAGTCGTCGTGGCCTAAAAGATAAGACGTCCGGTGCATTCGTATCTAGCGATGCACCGGTGTTCAAATCTCGCAGGCGGCTACCAATTTTTCTAATAAAATACGTTTATAACAAATGTTCACGATTGACTTCAACGGTGAAGGAATAACATCGTGTAATGAAAATCAAACCCGGAAAATTATAATTTGCGTAACCACCTACTGGTGGTAGGAGCTCGTGTGAGTCCACCCTGCCTGTTTCTGCCGTGAAGCAGTAATGCGTTTCGGTTTGACGGGTGGGGCAGCCGTTGTAACTATAGCTTAGAACTTATATCTCATGGTGGGTGGTGCATTTACGTTGTAGATGTCTATAGGCTCCGATAACCACTCAACACCAGGTGGACTGTGAGCTTGTCCACCGATTTAAGCACTAAAAGAAAATCATGGGACTGTCTCGTTACAAATAAAACGTATGGTCTTATTGAATACATACCCGTGCCAGTAAATACGCGCATGTCGTAGAATCTCCATTCCTTTTAAGGGAATCGCAAATAAAATTGTCTTGTAATGTCGCGAGCCCACAGAATGTGAAATGTCCATGCACTGGAGTTCAGAAACATTTTGGTAGCTATGTTATATTGTATGAAGATTTTTAAATTGAA